TGGTCTCCACCAATGTGGGGCTTGTAACCACTTGTGGTGATGAAAGTCCTGACTAGGCTGCCTCTCATACCCCAGTAGAGAGGGGGAGGGGTATCTAGTTACTTCTAGGAGGGGTCGGATGTCCAGGCTTCTCATGTAGTCCCTATTGTTATTGCCAGGTAAGGTGGCTCACTACTAGCTGTCTCAGATGAAAGTTTCATCTCTACCCTTGGGCCTTCTCTGACATCACTCAGGCAATGGTGTTAGAGTTTCTTGTTATAGTCTCTTGAGGGTGAAAGTCTAGGCTATCCACTCAGGCTTTGCTGGTATAGTGTGGGTGAGGCTGTACATTTTTTTGTTTTTTTAAGTGGTGTTTGGCTGAAGTAGAGTGGCTATTATCTAAGAGTTTTCTGTCTTGCTAGACTACTCCTTTCCTGGTCCTCTGGCTAGAGAGAGCAGGTATTTGTTGGGAGTCTGTTTGTCTGCACCAGTTGTGTTAGGTTTCTGGGTTGCTGGCTTCTTCAGCTACTTCATCCCCTTGGTTTCTGGTGTGCATCATCTTTTTCCTGGACTACTGAGCTGGACTCCAAGTAAGTCTTTTAGACCATCTCTGGCTTCTCTAACATATTCCTCCAAACTTCTGCCTGTGTTTTTGTCCTACAAAGCAGAACTGACCATGTCACTCTCCTGTTAATATTACTTACTGTGCATAATATAAAGCTCAACCTCTGTAAGGCACTGAAGATCCACCAAAATGCAATTCCAACTTTGTCTTTGCAACTTTGACTTGTGTTCAGTTTCTCTGCCTATCTGTTTGCTCCTGGGCTAAAGATGTGCCGTGTACTTTAGTTCCTGCTCTACCTTCTGTCTCCAGTGCTTTTCTTTACTCTAGCGAAGTACCGATTAAAGTGAAGAGCATTGGAGTTGGACTGCCTACGTTTAAATTCCAACTTTCTTATTTTCTAGCTAGGTGATCTTGGGCAAGTTTATCTCTCCATGTCTCAGTTTTCCCACCTGAAAAACGAGGATAATAGCATCTGCCTCATAGGATTGTTATGAAACTTAAATTAAATAGCACTTAGCAAATCGCCTGGTTGAAGAGGAAGGTCTTCATAAATGTGGGCTATTAGTATAATTCATTATTACATTAATAGTAGTTAAGTTAATATGCAGTAGCTCAACATTCAATTTGAATGTTACCTCTCTGTGAAATCATTATGGGTCCTCTCCATTGCTACCTTGTTATTGAAATTAATTATTCTTTTCCCAACTCTCCACTTAATTTACATTGCATTTACACTTGATTCTGTTTGCAATATAGGTAGCTAGATTGCAGATCTTTCTTGCTGACCACATTTGCTCATTTCTGGATTTATTCATTCAGAGGAAGCACTATGAATCAGTCATTGGGCACAGAGGTGATTAAGATGTGGATCTTCCTTCAGAGAATTCTCAGTTCCTTAGTAGCTGAAGACTGCTTGCTAAATAAACAGTTATAGTGGGGCTTAATAAATACTTTTTGATTTAAGACAAGCAGTCTCTGCCCTGGGATAGGACAGCAGGCAGCCTTCAGGCTAAACAGCGTCATGGTGTGTTAAAGTTAGAAACTTTTTGTGAACCATCCTTGTTACTGACCTCTGCATAGTGCTAAATGAAGGACTCAGGCTCTGTATTAGAGCCCTGCTATAACAGCATTGGGATTCCTGTGGTCTGTGGCCACCAGTATGTGAGTCTTGTCAGGACAATATCATTCCTTAACCCTGGTTCTCTTATGTTCAAATCAAGACAAAGATCTTTCTTGAGGTCTTAGGAGTTATATCAGTGTCATTGATGACATTGTTCATTCGGTTTTAAGGCTCACGTCTGACAATCTTAGCCTCAGACACCTTGACTTTCACCACTGAGACAGAATTTGTTTTTAAAGCACTTATGTGCCAGGAACTGTGCTAGCTACCACAAATGCAGAAGGATGGGACCCAAGAACCCCCTCAATAGCCAGGAGCTCATAGTCTCCATCCTGGAGCAATCGTGAGAAGCACAGACCTGATTGTTTTACTGTGGCCACCTTACCAACATTGTTTTGGTAGAGAGGATGGATATGGACCCAGATATTTTATGCTAAGGATGGACTGATGGAAGAAATGGAAAGAAGAAGTATAAGTTCCTATTGAAGATGTATGGCTGTGAAGGGAAGTACAATGGGTGGTAAGAAACTACAGCAGAGGCTGAGCAAAGGGAAGATAGTTTAAGGGTGGGGGAAATTAAGTAAGTTTATAGTAGATAAAAAGAAATAAGGCGAGTAGATCAAAAGATAGAGAGATTGAGAGAGTGACTGGGAAAGGATGAACAAATGTTTGAGAAATAACAATAGATATACATGTACATATACATATATGCATACATGCATACATGCATATACACATTGTATATAAGTATAAAATGTATATATGTATGTGTGTTTAGATATGCATTTATATATGGGGCAAGAAGGTGAGGAGAAAGTGGAAGACTGAAATTTTGAGAGAGAATTATACATATAATAAAATCTCTCTATATATTATCTATTTATCTATTTACCTATCTATTCATCCATCTATCTACCTACCTATTTATATAGAGAGATGGAGATCAGCCAGAAAAGGAAAAGTGAAAGAAGAGTCATTCATTAATATAACCATGTCCTGTAGGAAGGAGGAAATAATTTAATTGAAAGAACAGGTGAAAACTCCTTAGAGACAGGAGGAAGGAAGGTCAGAATGAGATGGAAGAGAGGAAAGTTAGAGTTCATGTAGGGTGCCCTCTATTTCTCTGGAAAGCTGAGAAGATTGAGAGAGATGAGAATGGAGAAATGAGAATGAAAGAAGAGGTAGAGATTTGGTATATTTTCTCTGGGGAATGAGAAAGTGAGAAAGTAAGATGTCAGGGATATACATGTAGGGATATACATGTAGCAGCACTGGGGGCCTCAATTGATTGAGTTTGTAAACTTGGCATTTGCAATGTAATTATTATTTCTTCAGAAGCACTAGCCTATAAGGAGAAGAGCAGGCAGTGAGGGTTGGAGTGCTTTGGAAGTTAGGGTTGAGGATAGGGAGAGGGTAACAGAAGGGTCCTGGTGAGAGCGGCATGTGGTATAGTTGCAGTAGCCAGGCTGTGCAGAGCAAAGATGTGTCTAGGATAAGAGTGATAAACTGAATGAGCATGGAGGGGATGAAAAGATAGAAGCTCAGGGAGCTTGGGGAGCATGTCTACTTTGATTCAGGTACTGAGAGTGTATAGCAGTATTGTCACTGCTAATAAAGATATACCTGTGACTGGGTAATTTATAAAGGAAAGAGGTTTAATTGACTCACAGTTCTGTATGGCATGGGAAGCCTTAGGAAACTTACAATCATGGTGGAAAGGGAAGCAAACACATCCTTCACATGGAAGCCTCAAGGAGAAGTGCTGAGCAAAAGTGGGAAACGATCCTTATAAACAATCAGATCTCATGAGAACTCACTTACTATCAGAACAGAAGCATGGGGGTAACTGTCCCATGATTCAATTACCCCCTACTGGGTCCCTTCCAGGACACTTGCAGATTATGGCAATTATAATTCAAGATGAAATTTGGGTGGGGACACAGCCAAACCATATCACAGAGGTAGGATAGAGGTTCTGATTGGAGAGTAAGATTTCTCAGTATGAGTCATTCATCCAACAAACGGCCCCTGAGAGCTAGCTCTAAGCACTTATTGTGGGAAACTGAGAATAAAGATAAAAATTAAGGCATGGTCTCTGCCGTTAAGGAGTTCACAGCCCAGAATTCAGAGGTAAATCCTTTCCAGGTGATGACAAGATCCAGGATGTCTCTGGAAATGATTTGCTGTGATGAGTGGGAGGGGAAAATTGATGGCGCAATGGAAGCCAAGTGGCTGGCAGGCCAGCATGTTAGATGTGTCATACTCAGGTGCTTATCAGCCCTACAAAGAAGATCGGGATTTCTCTCGGCTCAGTTATTTCTCTGGGGCCATGTGTATCCTTGCCCCAGCCAGTGATATGAGGACTGTTTTTCCATTTGAGATTTTGCTCTTCAGACTGTGTGTGACTGTCCTAGGGTCAGTCCCTGATGGTTTTCACAAGTGTAGAGTGGAAGGTCAATGGGCCTCAAAGTCATGCTTCTGCACTTTGGTACATGAGTCTGTAGACAGTTATCGATCCCATGCTTCAAGTTTCCTTTACTTGCTTGCCCTTATTTTCTTGGCCTGTAAAATTAACATAAGGAGGTGCCACAAATCCTTTTTGGGGAAAAAGCAGCTGAGATGTGTCTCTATAAAGTCATCAATAAGCAGAAGTCAGAAGCTGCAGCAGTTGGCAGGGTGTGGTGATGATGAATGAATGAGTATGCACATGTGAAGTGGGACAGTTTGGTGCTCGGAGCTCCATGACTGATTCCATTCTTCCTGCAGTCTTCTATGTGAAGCTGGACACAGAGAAGAGCTTTCCTAGCTGGGTTGAGCAGAAGCCTTGATGCTTCATGGCGGGCACAGGCTGTAGGAATCTACATATCAGCATTTCCAGGATTCTAGTGCCTACAGAGCTGTGTGAGACTTCATTTCATGGCCTATCTGGGCCTTGCTAGAAGGAAACAGAATTCCCTCCCTTCCTGTTACAGAGAGGTTGGCCTGCAATCTTCACTTATGAGTGACCAGATTGGCACATCCCACACTAGCTGTTTTGTGGATTTTGGCTGACAGGAATAGAGAGGAAGCATGCTTCTTTGACCTTTTACCTCTTGCATCCTTTCTGTTATGATCTTGGGAGGTTGGTTTATCTGGCTGTCTAGTCTAAATTCCAGATTAAACTCTATCAATGGGCTTTATCCTCTCTGGAAATGGTATTAATCCTTCTGAGGATCCAGACACTACCCACCAAAGCTTCTCTGCTGGGTTCGCACACACACACACACACTAGGTCTAAGGTATGATGTGATCTCCTGGGTATGTGATGGTTTTTGTGCTGCTTCTTTTTTCTTTCAGTGTCTGAGAAGCCAGCTGGGGCTAAGCAAGTTTTAGAACCTCTACTGGCTGATGCCAACATCATCAGAGATGAACTGTTCTTACCAGAAACTTCTCTGCTCCTGACAGCACACCTCTCCTCAGGTAGCTAAAAGGACAATGAGATTATTACCCCTGAACACTATGTAATGAGATGGTCTCCTGTATGGGGGTATACATACCAGGGCACACTCATTCCAATTGCAGTATCATAGGGACAATACTAGAATAATATTTGGACACTTTGATAGCCAAAGAAAGGCATTTGGAAGATTCATAGAGGGCTTCACTGTAATAAGTCTTTCCTTTGGTTAAATCATGAATTTTTGGCCGGGTGCGGTGGCTCAAGCCTGTGATCCCAGCACTTTGGGAGGCCGAGGCAGGTGGATCACAAGGTTAAGAGATTGAGACCATCCTGGTCAACATGCTGAAACCCTGTCTCTACTACAAATACAAAAAATTAGCTGGGCATGGTGGGGCGTGCCTGTAATCCCAGCTACTCAGGAGGCTGAGGCAGGAGAATTGCCTGAACCCAGGAGGCGGAGGTTGCGGTGAGCCAAGATCGCGCCATTGCACTCCAGCCTGGGTAACAAGAAGCGAGATTCCGTCTCAAAAAAAAAAAAAAAAATCATGAATTTTTATTAAATTTTACACAAATACATTCTTCTGTCTACTGATACGATCTTTTTCCTGTTTATCTATAAATTATAGATAGATTATACTTATTTACAATCCAATTTTTAAAAATAAGTACAATAACATCTCTTACTTAAAATTAAGCCATATTCAAATGTGATACGAATTAGGATCTTGTTGACTTCGAATTAATACCACTAAAAGATAACTCTGCCATCATTCTTATTAACTTAAAAGCAAAACTTGATTGCAAGATTCTTTAAATAAAGCAACCTTCAAAATTCACTGTTTTACCTCAGCAATACAATTTTTAAATTGTGGTAAGATAAACGTAACAAAAGTAATCATGTCAAATTATTTTTAATTGTACAGTTCAGTTATTGCACAACCATCACCATCACCCATCCCCAGAATCCTTTTCATCTTGCAAAACAGAAACTTTGTACCCTGTGCCCTGCGCAGTAATTCTCTTTTCCTCCCTTCCCTGCCCCTGCTCCTGACAACCACTACCCTACTTTCTGTCTCTATCAATATGGCCACTCTAGGTGATTTCATACATGTGGAATCGTATAATATCTGTCCTTTTTGCCTGGTGTATTTCACTTAGCCTAATGTCCTCAAGTTTCATCCATGTTTTTGCCTTCCTTTTAAAGGCTCTGAGTAATATTGCCTTCTTTGTATGCACAACTTTTTATTTAGTCATCCATCCGTGGATGGACATTTGGGTTACTTCCGCCTTTTGGCTATTGTGAATATTGCAGCTCTGAACATCGGCGTACAGATTCTGTTTAAGTCTCTGCTTTAAAATCCTTTGAGTATATACCCAGAAGTGGAATTGCTGGGTCATAGGATAATCATATTTAAACATTTTCTAAGGAATACTCATACTGTTTTCCATAGTGGTTAACCAGTTTTACCTTCCCATCAATAGTGCACAGGTTCCAGTACTTATTTTCTGATTTTTGATAGTAGCCATCCTAACAGGTTTGAGGTGATATTTCATTGTGGTTTTGATTTTGATTTCATTAATGCTTACTTATGTGGAGCATCTTTTCATGTGCCTGTTGGCCACTTATGTATCTTTGGAGAAATATTGCTTCAAGTTTGTCGCCCATTTTTAAATTGAGCTCTTTGTTTTTAGGTGTTGAGTTATGGAAGTTCTGATATTAGGAATTAGGAGAGGTAGTAGTCAGGTTATTAACCCTTTATGAGATATATTATTTGCAAATATTTTCTCCCATTTTTTGGGTTGCCTTTTCACTCTGTTGTACCCTATGATGCACAGAAGTTTTTAATTTTAATAGAGTACATTTTTTTTAACTCTTGTGGCCTGTGCTTTTGCTGTCATATCCAAAAATTCATTGTCAAATTCAATGTCATGAATCTTTACCCCTATGTTTTCTTCTAAAACTTTTAGCTGTTACATTTAGGTCTTTGATATATTTTTGTGTTAATTTTTTATATAGTATAAGGTAAGGGTCCAACTTCATCCTTTTGCACATGAATATTCAGCTTTTCCAACACTGTTTGCTGAAAAGACAATCTTTTCCCATTGCATGGTCTTGGCACCCTTGCAAAAATAATTTGAACATATACATAAGGGTTTATTTTTGGATGTTTTATTCCATTCCATTATGCTACATGTCTGTTTTTATATGCTAGTCCTACACTGTTTTGATTACTATAGATTTATAAAAAGTTTTGAAGTCAGGAAGAGTGAGATGTCTAACTTCGTTAATTTTCAAGATTGTTTTGACTATTTGGGGTCCCCTGAGATTACATATGAATTTCAGTATGTATTTTTCTATTTCTGCAAAAAAAAAAAAAAAACATCATTGAGATTTTGAGACTGCTGTAAAACTTCTGAATTCTTTCTTATAGGAAACATTTGCCAGACAGATGAAGAGAAGGGGGGTGTTTAGGCAAAAGGAAGGGTGTGACCAAAAGCATGAGAAGATGAAAGATCTTGCTCTACACGTGGGAACTAAAAGATGTAGTATTGTTGAAGAACTAAGCATTCTTATTATCTGTATGTTTGTATGTGTTTGAGTATCAGTTTGGATAGGAGATACATTAGGAGCTAAGGCAGGGGTCAGATATTATGAAAGTGGATGGGTATTATGTTAAGGTCAATGGAAATTCGTTAGAGTTGGGTTGTGGAATGATGTGATCATATTTGTAATATAGAAAAATGACCCTGTTAAGAATGGATGCTACATTGAGCAGGAAAAAAGTATCAGCAGAAAGACCAGGTAGGAGATTGTTGCAAAACTCCCAGAGATAAAATGATTAAGACTTGCACTCTGGAGGAGATGATCCAAGATGGCCGATCGCTAACATCCCGGGATTGCAGCTCTCAGTGAAGGCGCTGAGAACTAGAGGACGCCACACTTTCAGACAAATTCTGGTCGCTCACGGAGCAGAAGATCCCCAGTGGAGGAAACACACGGGTCGCCATCGCGAATCTCGTGGCTGGTGCAGCGGTTCCGCCGACACCTCGGCGCAGCAGCGCTCGGCGCAGAGTAAACGAGACCGGTTCCCCTTCTGACCGAGGTTTGGAGCCCCGGGAAGGCAGAGTCGCCTACTGCGGACACAAGAAGGAAGCCCGACAGGAGAATCCTGGGAAGAAAAGCACCATCAGTTTTAACGCTGCTGTTCTGGCCCTGGGAACTAACAATTTGGATGTCCACTCAAGAGACCTAATCTGAAAGTTGGTAATTTCAAAGACGACAGGAGGATAAATTTACAATGATGGAAGAAACCAGCGTAAAAAGGCTGAGAATACTCAAAATCAGAATGCCTCTCCCTCTATAGATGATCACAGTTCCACATCGACAATGGAACAAGGCTTGATGGAGAATGAGCGCATCCCAATAACAGAATCACACTTCAAGGATTGGATAATAAGAAACTTCTGTGAGTTAAAAGAACATGCTGTAGCCCAACGTAAAGAAACCAAGAACTTTGAAAAAAGGTTTGATGAAATCCTATTGAGAATAGACAACTTAGAGAAGAGTATAAGTGAATTAATGGAACTGAAGAATACAATACAGGAACTCTGAGAAGTATGCACAGGTTTAAACACTCGAATTGTTCAAGCAGAAGAAGGGATATCAGAGATCAAAGTCCAACTTAATGAAATAAAACGTGAAGAAAAGATTAGAGAAAAAAGGATAAAAAGGAATGAGCAAAGTCTCCAAGAAATGTGGGACTATGTGAAAAGACCAAATTTACGTTTGATAGGTGTACCTGAATGCAACAGAGAGAATGAATCCAAGCTGGAAAATACCCTTCAGGATATTATTCTGGAAAATTTTCCTAAACTAGCAAAGCAGGACAATATTCAACCCCAGGTAATACAGAGAACACCACAAAGATATTCCTCAAGAAGAGCAACCCCAAGGCACATAATCATTAGATTCACCAGGGTTGAAACGAAGGAGAAAATACTAAGGGCAGCCAGAGAGAAAGGTCAGGTTACCCACAAAGGCAAGCCTATCAGACTTACAGCAGATCTCTCAGCAGAAACTCTACAAGCCAGAAGAGAGTGGGGGCCAATATTCAACATCCTCAAAGAACAGAACCTTCAGCCCAGAATTTCATATCCAGCCAAACTAAACTAACTTCACAACTGAAGGAAAAATAAAATCTTTTATGAACAAGCAAGAACTCAGAGATTTTATTACCACCAGGCCTGCTTTACAAGAGCTTCTGAAAGAAGCATTACACACAGAAAGAAACAACCAGTATTAGCCTTTCTAAAAATATACCAAAAAGTAAAGAGCACCAACACAAAGAAGAATTTACAGCAGTGAATGGATAAAACAGCCAGTTAACATCAAATGGCAGTAACCCTAAATTTAAATTGACTAAATCCCCAATCAAAAGACACAGCCAAAACCCAACGGCATGTTACATCCAGACCTGTTTCACATGCAGGGATACACAAATACTCAAAACAAAGGGATAGAGAAAGATTTACCAACCAAATGGAGAGCAAAAATAAATAAATAAAAAGGAGGAGTTGCAAATCCCGTATCAGATAAAATAGATTTTAAAGCAACAAAGATACAGTGGTAAAAGGATCAATGCAACAACAAGAGCTAACGATCCTAACACCCAGATACATAAAGACTTAGACTCAATGAGACAGAAAATTAATAAGGATATCAAGGACTCAAACTCAGATCCAGAACAAGTAAACTTAATAAATATTTATAGAGCTCCCCACTTCATATACACAAAATATACATTCTTGTCAATACCACATCACACCTACTCATAAGTTTAAATGAAACATTGATTGGCCATTATTAATACCCAATTTTTTTCAGAATAAAGCAATATTTCCATTTACTCTCCCTCTTTCTTCCTCTCCTTTACTTTTTTTTTTTTTCTTTCCTTCTTTCAAAAAAAGAAATCAACTTGTAAACCTCTAGATCCAGGTCGGCAATGTCTCTCTCGTTGCTTGATTTCCTTCCTTCCCTTCCCTCCCTCCCTCCCTCCCCCCTTCTTCCCTTCCTTCCTTCCTTCCTTCATCCTTTCCTTCCTCCCTACCGTCCTCCTTCCCTCCCTTCCTCCCAAAAAAAAAAAAAGACTTGCACTCTGGTAGCATCAGTGGAGATAGGAAGGAGGGAGTGGATTTGAAATAGACATGGCTCACTACACCCCCAGTCACATTCCAGTAGCTTCACTCTTTTCCTGGGTCTTGAAGTCCTTATATCTGTGGAATAGCCTCTGAACTCAGGGTGATGGTTCCAACCATTCATCAGTATCATCTATTTGTCACCTTTTAGGAACTCAAATGACTGTTGAAGGAGGCGCTGTGTTCTGGTTCAGAGGCTCAGGGGGCCGTTAACAGCAGCCAGTCTCTTTTCAAAGCTCCTGTGCTCCCATTCCTTGTCATTCTCGAGCCTCTGGCTGCTCCAAGAACTTTGTGGTTGTTTCCTCCTACCTGTGAGTTGGTTGGTGTTTTCTTGTTTTGCTCTTACCTGAAGCCTGATGAAATCTACGAGCCTGAGAGTGTTCTGTTGTAGCCCGTTCCATTTACCTCGTGGAACTGCCACGCTCTAGGTGCTCTAACTGTGACCCATGTTACTCACCTCTGTGACCCACTGAGAGCCCAGGTTCCTTCCCCAAGCCTGACATTCCTCTGCACCCTGTGACTCAATTCCCTGCTTCAGTTCATAGCTGCATCGAATGAGCCATTGGGGTCTTTGCCACCTCTCTCCCACTTCATGCTGAGGAACTCTCTGTAAAGCCTTTGCTGAGTGAACTGGGTAATGCTAATAATGCCAGGCTAGAGCTGCAGCAGCTCCAGAGAGGACGTGCTCCTCCAGCTAGAGGCTGAGCACGGAGATCCCAAGTCCCTGTTCTGACTCCTGGAGGGATGGTTCTATGGATGGACAGTCTCTGTGGGCCATATGTGTGTTTGACTGGCCCATCAAAGTCACGGGTGAAGTCATGGAGCTAGAGGGAGGGAGCAGCTTGAGCTCCCAAATTCCTGTAGGTATTTTAGAATAGGAACTGCTATGTCGGTTCTGGGATAGCCAGCTCTGAACCACTGCCAAGGGCACACATTTAGTGACCTGAGGGATGAGGCAAACTGATCAAGGTACACAAGTATCATTAGTGCAGGCTCCTGGAAATGCACAGCAGGAGAGGAGAGGGCTGTGGCTTGGAGTTAAAATGCAGGATTAATGTGATTATGATTTAAACCGGATGGGCCATGCCTTGAAGGTGAACCAGGGAGAATGAAATAAAGAGTTCCAGGAGAGGTAAGGGGGCATTGTTTAAGTTGGAATTAGGAGGATACAGAGAAGAGAAGGGAGAAAGGTCAGGAAAATCAAGGATGTAAGGGGTTTCTACTTCCTTGAAAGCCAGGAAGCTCACTTGAACAAAAAGCACAAGACCTCAGATATTTGTGGACCCCTGGATGGGGCTGGTCTTTCTAAAGAAAGCTTGGCTCTTTATTCTCAAGCCCAGGCTACCTGGAACGTGGCCTTAGGACAGCAGAATGTGCCTTATCACTCACTTTGTGTTCCCAAACAGAAGAGAAGCGGTAGACTGGCCACGCTGATTCAGCCAAGCACCTCCAGGAAGTCCCCTCTGGATGTCCCATGAGGCTGCTCCTCAGCCACAGCCCAGAGCACATCGAGATGGCTTTACTCAGCAACATCCTAGCGGCCTATTCCTTTGTCTCAGGTAAGTGCCTGGTCTCCACTGGGCCAGGACTGAGGTCTGGGGCTGGTCCAAGGCTGTCTTCTGGGTGGCCATCTCTGGCCTTATTCTCAGGAAAGGCACACTATGTAATCATAGCTACTGCTCTGCTGTGCTGAGTTTCGAGATGAAAGATCTCCTCGTTGAGAGTTAAGCTTGTCATTCTCTAATTTGAAAAATGAAGGGTTCTAAGAGCTTTGTCTTGAAGAAAATGTTTAGGTTTCTTTCAGCTCAAGTGAGTGATTGAAGTGGCCCGGGGCTACTGTTGGCTTCTGTCACTATGCATTAACTCTGATCAGGGAGGGGGTGGATAGAGTACCTCGGTCTGGTTATTCTGAGCAGTTAACCCCACATAGGCTGCCTGTGTGTGAGACTGTGTGTGGGAGAGAGTACGTGTGTATATGTTCTGAGTTTGGGGGCTTTCTGAGGTATTTGATGAAGCTGTAGAAGAGATGAAGACAGTGGCATGTGGCGTATGGAAGAGTCTGATATTTGTCCCTTTTTTGGGTCAAAGTTGTACTCTTTTGTAAGATGGCTGATTTTCTCCTCAAGATCATTTCTTGAAAACAGATGTTTATATAAAAGGAGCCATTTAAAAACAAATGAAAATCCTCACTGGTTTGAATGACCACATTGTTCCTCTGTTGCTCGAATGAGTTTTTAATTTCTTGATACCTTGCTTTTGTTTTTGTTTTGTTTTGTTTTGCCTGATGTCTCTGGACATATTGTATAAAAAGAAAGGGACTAGGTTTCCATTAGATTTCCTTTGGGCGAGGACTGGTTTTGCTTTCTAATTCTCTACACAGGGTTGACACATGGTGGTCTAAGAGTTGAAATGCAAACCTGATATTATGATTTACAGTGGCAAATCTGAGCCAAGTGGAGGGTTTCATGAGCCAAGGAAGTTCATGGCTTCTCTTTGTGAGAGGATCTTGGAAGACGTGCAACCTGATTTCAGGAAAAAAAAGGGGACTGCTTAGGGCTTCGTGCTAGGCGAGCTGCAGCATGTAGTCTGCTTGTGCCTCGGATCCAGGGCTCTGCCTTCTTGGATCAGGGAACACCTAGGTCATCAGTCAGCTTTTCTTTCCCCTTGAGGAAGTCTGGGACATCCTTCTCCAGGTACTTACCCGTTAGAGGAATCTTATCTTTGCTCTTGCTTTAAAGGCTACATTGGAGAGAAAGGACGCAAGAGCTGGAAAAGAAGTTTAAAATTCAGGCATTGTTTTCACAAACAATTGAAGGATAATTTTCTTAGCCCTATAGTGAAGCTATCCCTCAAATGAAGTGGGGCTGACAGAGAGGGTCTGTAGTTTCCAAAGCCCCAAAGGACACCTGTGAATCAGCTGTTGCAAAAATATGTCTTGCGTGGGAGCAAACAGAGTATTGGACTTTGGACCTCTTATGCTCAGCCCAGGAGGTACCTGGCAATTTTCCATTTCAGTCAGCATGACCCTGAATTGTGACCACAGAAAGTGATAACTCATTGAATACTCCTATGTTTATCATGTGTTGTGTGATCTTGTCAAGGCTGAAAGGGTACATGGCTCTGTTTTTCTCTCTCCTCCAAACTTCCTCCTTCCTGCCCCATACTCTTTTTTTTTTTTTTGAGACAGAGTTTCGCTCTTGTTACCCAGGCTGGAGTGCAATGGCGTGATCTCGGCTCACCGCAACCTCCGCCTCCTGGGTTCAGGCAATTCTCCTGCCTCAGCCTCCTGAGTAGCTGGGATTACAGGCACACGCCACCATGCCCAGCTAATTTTTTGTATTTTTAGTAGAGACGGGGTTTCACCTTGTTGACCAGGATAGTCTCAATCTCTTGACCTCGTGATCCACCCACCTCGGCCTCCCAAAGTGCTGGGATTACAGGCGTGAGGCACCACGCCCGGCCCCTGCCCCATACTCTTGAATTAAATACTACTTGGGATGCAGGAAAACAATGCTGCTTTAAGTAAGTATGGGCAGAGATAAAAAGAAAATGCAAGAAAGCAGAGTGGCTAAAATAAACTTTAGATCCAATGTGTAGACTCAATGACTGAAAACCAATTCTGAAATGGGGGACACTCCCTGATTTTAAGTTAAATTAATAAGGAAAATTTAAAATACAAAGGTGAATATACAAGATACAAATAGTTACTGTTTTTAGTGAAGAAAATCAAATAAATGGATTGGAAACAGTGATGAAAAGTATGATGGAAGAAAATTGTGGAAAATGTCCTAATCTTGTAGCTGTCTCATGTTCTCATTCTGCTCTATTTGGTCTTCAACCACACAGGGTCCCTGGCCCCTCCTGTTTTCTCCCTGTGTATCCATTGCCTCTTCTCCTATCCACGCGGTCCCTTACTTCAGCAACACACTTGCTAATACACATAACTGCCTTATTCTTTCATGGAGCTTCTGAGTAAACTAGTAGGTGAAACCCAAACTCTATGTGAATCCTGCTCACTTTCTGTGTCTGTGTGTTCTTTGTTAGGGGGATGTTTAAGGTGTTTGGTAACCTGTGGGAGAGATGGAGACAGAAGAAGGCATGTGAGCTGGGAGAGTCTTGATATTTACCTCTTTTTTAGTTTCAAGTTGTACTCTTTAGGAAGACTGCAGACTTTCTCCTCAAGATCATTTCTTGGAAACAAATACTGTTTATATAAAAGGAGCCATTTTAAATTACATGCAAATGCTTAATGGTTTGAATGACCAAACTGCTCCTCTGCTGGTTAAGTGAGTTTAAAAATATTTGATATTTTGTTTTTGTTTTGCCTGATGTCTCTGGATGTTATGTAAAAAGAAAGGGACGGAGGTTCTGATTGGATTTCTCTTTGGGTAAGGACTGGTTTTACTTTCCTCTTCTAATCCAGCGAGGGTTCATATTAGATGACTTAAGAAAAGTGACCCTTTCTCACTGTGCACAAGTTACCAAAGACCAGTATAATTTGCAACTGGATGCCACTAGAAATTCATAGTCTCCAATCTCAGCTGAGCTTTTCACATTGTACTTTAATCTATTTATTTCTGCACACATCTATTTCTGCACACATTTCTGCACACCATTCTTCACAACAGACCTTTCAAACTTTGACCATTCCAATAATTGTACATATCTGCTTACCACAATGGGCCCTACAAACAAATGACAAGTGTCAAACTAGGTAAAAATGAAACATTAATGAAGAACAGTTAAAGTTCATAACTTATGAAGAGCTCTTACAAATCAACAAGTGTCTCGAAAGGAAAGTTGCCAAAAAACAAGAATCAACAGTTTGCAAAAAAAAGATACAAATTATTGATAAAACAGAAACAGCTCAAATTCTGGCATAAAAATGCAAAATAGAAACTGCAATTAGATTAACATTTTTATTTTATACATTTCTCAAAGGCTTGACTGGTGAAGTATATAATTTTAGTGTTGGAGAAAGTATGGGGAAATGAGTACTTCCACGTTGTGCTGTTGGGACTGTGAATTGCTACAACCTAAGGGATTTGGCAATATCCATCAAATCCCTTAGAAACATACACTAGCCAGAAATCCCAATTCTGGAATGTCTCCTAAGGAAATAATTAGGGATATAGGCAGAAATTTTACTGTGAAGATGATTAATCTCAGAACTACTTATAATACATGTAATAAAAATATTAGGAAAAATTTGTGAATTTTTTTTTATTTTTTGAGATGGAGTCTTCCTCTGTTGCCCAGGCTGGAGTGCAGTGGTGTGATCTCAGCTCACTGCAATCTCTGCCTCCCGGGTTCAAGTGATTCTCCTGCCTCAGCATTCTGAGTAGCTGGAAGGAGCTTGCCACCATACCAGAGTAATGTTTTTGTATTTTCAGTAGAGACAAGGTTTCACCATGTTAGCCAGGATAGTCTCAATCTCCTGACCTCATGATCCATGCATCTCGGCCTCTCAAAATGCTAGGATTACTGGCTTGAGCCACCATGCTCAGCCATTTGTGAATATTAATTGAAATAGGAAGATATTTATGACCTGCTACTAGGTAAATAAAGCCTGTTACCACACATCATATACATTGATCCCATTTATTCATGTATATTCATATGTATAGGTAACCACATTTTACTACAAATTATAACTGGCTGCCAGAATTGTGTGGGTGCAGGTATATGTACTTATAATTTTATTTTGCCTGGCTGTATTTTTAATATTCTACAATTCATTGATATTACTTCATAATAAGTAATGTTTTTTTATTATTTATTTAACTATACTTTGAGTTCTGGGATATATGTGCCGAACCTGCAGGTTTGTTACATAGGTATACACGTGCCATAGTGGTTTGTTGCACCCATCAACCTGTCACCTACATTAGGTATTTCTCCTAATGCTATTCGTTCCCTAGCCTCTCACCCACTAACAGGTCCCAGTGTGTGATGTTCCCCTCCCTGTGTGCATGTGTTCTCATTGTTCGACTCCCACTTATGAGTGTGTTTGGTTTTCTGTTCCTGTGTTAGTTTGCTGAGAATGATGGTTTCCAGCTTCATCCAGGTCCCTGAAAATGACATTAACTCATCCTTTTTGGTGACTGTATAGTATTCCATGGTGCATATGTGCCACATTTTCTTTATCCAGTCTATCACTGATAGGCATTTGGGTTGGTTCTAAGTCTTTGCTATTGTGAATAGTGCTGCAGTAAACATACATATGGTGTGTCTTTATAGTAGAATGATTTATAAACCTTTGGGTATATACCCAGTAATGGGATTGCTGGGTCAAATGGTATTTCTGATTCTAGATCCTTGAGGAATTGCCACACTGTCTTCCACAATGGTTGAACTAATTTACACTCCCAACAGTGTAAAAGCATTCCTATTTCTCCATATTCTTTCTAGCATCTGCTGTTTCCTGACTTTTTAATGATTGCCATTCTAACTAGTGTGAGATGGAATCTCATTGTGGTTTTGATTTGCATTTCTCTAATGACAAATGATGATGAACTTTTTTTCATATGTTTGTAGGCTGCCCTTAGTATTTTCTCCT